ACTGAGGCACAGGATATCCCCCCTTTCCCAGAGTAGCCCCTAACACTTTTAAGTTCAACAACATGAAGTCTTCCCGCAGAACTCAGATTCACAAGACCCAAGTGCCTCATCTCGGGTCAGTTGGCAAACTTCACTGAAGGCCCCAGGAATCATCACCCTGAGTGACAAGACCAAGTTCTGCACACGATTCCATTTGCATGCACATGAAAAGCCCCGTGAACCACCACAGCTAATGTCAGCCTAAGAGAAGGAAATCTAGTTAATAGCACATTAAGAAGTTAAATTCCATTATTAATTAAAATATCTCCAGCAGAGCAATTATGCAGCACCCTTAGAGAAAGCTGCCAGGAGACAGAGCACTAGCAGGAGCAGAGCTGGCAATAGGATGTTTGTATATGGACTAGCTGAATCACTGCCACCCTGTGCCTCCTGTAACCTCCGCACAGAAGTCTTAAGTCCTGAGAAAGCAAAACTCCACAGTAGAGGCTGAAAAAAACACTTTGGGGTTAATTAACATCCATGAGCCAAAGCTTGCCTGACAGCGTGAGCAGGGGGAGATGGCACAGCCCCCCCGAGGTAAGGCAGCACTGCACAGCGGCTCCGCTACCTCCCGCCTCGTGCACTGGAGCAGTGTACACATGGAAATCCTAAGCAGTTCTTTATTCAATATCCCTCTTTCACAGACGAAAGGGAGACAGTCAGCATATCTAGCTGAACATTTAAACAGTACTTTGTGTGTTCATTTCACAATTAAATGTTTTTAGAACTATTGCCATACTTCAGCAGGAATGAACACTTTCCACTGGTGACACCATTTGTTGTCCCACTTTCTTCTATTTTTCTTGGGTGTCCAGGCAAAACCAAAGTCTCCATCTTCAGGTGCTAAAAACACAAATTCCCATTATAGAAAGAAAGCCATCACTTTTCCATGTGGGACAATAACATATCAAGAAATAACTGGCATCAAGCAGTTGTTACAAAACCACTCTCAGTGAGTTATAGTAAAAGTTGGCTTCTCAGTTGTTTGATTTTTACACTAATAAACAAATTAAAGTTTATTTCTATCATCTTTAACATCCATAGTGGCAGGCAGCTGAGGAAGCACTTGAGTTTTCCATGCATCAGCTTATAGGCATGTATGCAGTTTTTATGGCTAAGCATTATGTCTCCTACTGTTACTTGTGATCCAGACTAGCTTTGTGTTTTCCCTCCCTTGATGTAAGAGTCTAGCTTTAAGGAGTTTTTGTCAAGCAGGTTGTGAACAAAATTGAAATAACCACAGTAAATTAATTGGCAGAGACAGAAAAGCTCCCTGGGGTGCTACAAAATGATGAAGAGACTACAAAGCTTCCTAGAGGACAATAAAGATGTGCCTACACATACATGACCAGGTATCCTGGTATCTGCCTTGTATCCTATAAAGGTGGTTGTGAAAGCTGCAGTTCTAAAGGTTTTCAGTCTGACCTTTAGCACAAGTGAAAAATGAAGAGATGTGCACAGAGAAACCTGCCAATCTCCCTTCAGGAGAACCATCACCATCCTGCTTCGGATCATGACTCCCATTGTGCAGCAGCCCTTGCAGTCACCTGGCACCCACTTTGCTGACGTGCGACCAATGGTCTCTGACCCAGCAATGTTTCCCTGAAATGGTAACAACATCAGGAAGGTGCAACTGGGGGGATTCAGGTCTCTGCTTCTTTCAAGATGACCCCCAAAATGCTGAGCTCGTGATGTTATTAGCATCAGCAAGCAAGGAAGCCAGCCAAGAGTGTTTTATCTTTCCATCAGCAATTGAAGTGGGCCAGCATTCAACAGCACACTGTGCCAATATTTCTTCGAACGCCAAATGGATATGCATCTTTCAAACTCAGGCTGCAGAGTGAACGAGCTGAATGCTGCAGCTTCTAAATTTCAACTTCAAGTGCTGCTCAAGGCAGTAACAAGATATTGCCTCTACATAACATTCACAGATAAAGCTTTCCTACTCTGAGCCAGTTTTCACCATTGAGATGATCAGAAAAGGCTACTCAAGTCAAATTCAGACAAAGACAGAGCCTGAACCTGCCCAAGTCTCTCTGCAATGGTTCAACCCAAATGAACACACATCAGGACACTCCCAAATACATGCATTGTTTGCAATTTGGAGAGACAAAAGCACATGTTCACTGCTTCAGAGAGCTAATCTGCTCTTCAGAACAAAATATCCAAAAAAGAAACAAGAAATCTTCATATAAATAGATGAAATTGGTATTTTTGGGTTCTCTTTCAACCCATGGGATGGCAGAGGACATGGAAAGAACTCCTTTAGGTATATGGGTGCACCAGTGAAACCAGAACCATCTTTTCACCAACAGACTGATCTAGATGGTGCTTTTGCTGAGCAATTCAGTGCACAGACCCCAACTCCATCCACATGTGGTCCTTGGGCAGCTGTGCAAGTGCAGAGAGGACATCCTCTGGGTCTGGAACTTATCTCCCATAGTTTTAAGGCCTTCAAACTGATTGGCAGGCTGTATATACAGTTCTACAACACCTGGCATTAATTCTACTGGTAACACACTCCTAGCAAAAGCCCTCACATATTTACTGGCCTGGAGCAAAGCAGATCCTGAGCAGCACTCCAGCAGCTGAAACGGGAGATATTCCCACTGCAGCCATCAAGGACACAGATGTCCTCTGCCTGGCAGCTTGCATCAGCCTAAGCAGAGGGGCAGCATTTCGCACGCACACCAAACGAGAAGCAGCAGAGTCCTCCATTGGTTACATGCTCCAAGAATTCCACTGAGGCAGCCCTCAGGCACTGCACGCTTTCAGCCACACTGAGCTTTAAACCTTTAAACACACATCAGAAGTGCTGGTGCTCAAAGGCTACAGTCCATATATCATGCACTAAATGACTAGTACCCTTTGTCTCAACAGAACTGTCACTTTATGCTGTAAGAGCAGGTAATACAAGTCTTTTTGAGTGCTTGTAGTCTGCAATAAAGGTCCATGTCTATGAACCCAAGATTCTGAACAAAATATAGCATAATCACCCTGTCCATTCCTAAAGAAACCCCAAGTGATTTTCATTTCTGCAAAAAGTACTGAAAGTTGTTCATTTGGGAGAGTTAATTTGTTTAGAAAGGCTGCTTTTAGCTTTCTCAGACTTCTCAGCTACTGTACATTTTTCTTTAATTAGTTTAGTTCAACCAGCAAAGAGCAGGAGTTGAACAACAAGGGTCTGCACATAAAAGTATTTGAAACTACTGGCTAGCTAATACAAACTAAATATACACTGCAATCTGCCTGTCAGACTTATTAGAAGGTAGCATTGTGTTCTGTATACTACATCACTATTACTGTATTTTCCAGGTAGTGATTTCATATGGGTAAATGAGGTTGCTAGGTTCGGTTTATTAGCAACTTTTTTGCAGCCTCCAGCATTTAAATTAGAGATTCTCCTGGACCATATGAAGGAACAAGTTTTTACTTATGTGTTTTACTAGCTTGCCAACACAGGCACCTCTGCATCCTGCAGTCTTGCCTCCGCTGGTACTAGTGGAAGCTACAGAAGCAAGTCCCTGAGAACTGAGTAGCTTCTGACAGAGCTGGGATTCAATCCCTATTGTTTAGTGTCAGGAGATACCCTGATACAACATTTGAAGTAGACCAAAGTGAATACAAAGTATTTTTTGGGTGCAGGTTGCCAGCACAGCTCCTGCTGCCCATGCCCAGAGTCCATGTCAGTCAACAGTGCAGGACTACAGGGAATCCCCCTGAGGAGCACAGTGTTGTGATGCTCAGGGCTGACATTACCTTTCTAGCCCCCTGAACCACTAGCCTCCCTTCAGCATCAAAACTTGGTTATTCCTACCAATACCTAAAACCCTGCACAGCCAACAGCATGAGGTGAGACACAGGGAGCAGAGGGCTGTGTGCTCAGCACAGAGATCAGCTGCTCTGAAATACTGCAGGCAAACTCAGAGCAAATAAAGGGGCAAGGAAAAATGATTGCATCTCCTCTGATGGCTTGGCTGGCAGCCAAGGGAGAAAAGAGGAAGCATCCTTCTATTCAGGCCTTGTCCCCACCTCCAAGACTTCCTCCACACTGAGCCATTCACACTTGTACGAAGCAGCAACACTGAAGTCAATGATAGGACTGGGTAGGGAGAAGGGTTATACTTTGTGACAGGATATGACATGATGCAAACCTCCATCTATGTGAGATCAAAAAGGCTGCTGGTGGGAACAGGAACATGGGCATATGGAAAAATCCAGCTTCTAGAATGACTTATTAGACAAAAATTATTTTAAAGGCTGTTTTAAATTCAATGCTTAACTCCCTTCTGCTCAGTTAGTGAGGCAGTTAGTTGACTATATCACTACATTAGAAAACAGAATTCCTTTCACATGCAGAACATGTAAAATAGTGCTAGTTGTGACTGAGTAAGCCCCTTCTATGATGTCTTTTAAAAGGCAATATGTGTTTGGGTAAGTAGCTAGTGTATTCCCAAGGAAAGTTTCTTTCACCAGTGTTCACCCTGGCATTACAGAAGTACTGCAGCTACCTGTGGTGTCATGGTAATTGTAGCTGGTGTGCACAAAGCCCAAAGAGGCAATAGCCATGAAACTGCTTCTCACTACCACTTCACAGAAAGTGCTTCTGCTTCTCGGAGCACTGTAGTTATTTACACCTTCACAGCTCCACAATTTATTGGTCATTTCAGAGTCTTGGAAATCCAGGCAGAGATGAAGTGAGGCAGGCATGAAAGACTCAGGAGAACTCCCCTTACCCAGAGGGGTTTCGCTTCTGTTTGGATAGAACACTAAGTCAGCTCTCAAACTCCACCAGATTCAGATAGAGCTGGGCTGCAAATTTCAGAGGCAAATCAGTTGGTCTTTAATTCTAAAAAAAAAATGCCTTAAATAGCCAGAGGATCCCTACATTCAAAGTTTTGAGCTTTAGAAACAACTTAGGGGGCTGGGGAGGGAGGCTCTGTACAGCACATCAATATATCTAATGAGACAACAATTAAACATTTAATTTCCCAATCATTCTTTTCATCTGGTGAACAGTGTTGTGGGTTAAAAGCACCGTCAAACCTACAGATGCAAAATAAAACCTGCTTAGCATGGGGAGCAGCTCTTCAATTTCTGTCAGTAACAGTGAGGACAGGTGTCTCTTCTATATAATGCTTCTAGCTCAAGGATCCATCTTCTCCAATAGATTTAGACCTTCTCCAAGAACACTTGGCTTCAGCTCCAAACTGAATCCTGAGTTTTCGGAAAATTACAGCTCTGATTAGATTTATGAGTTGATTAAGAGGCTTTCCAAGTCCAAAATTCGTGTAGTTACGCTGTAACAGGCTGTTCCACTACAAAACCCTAAAGGCAAAGCCAGTTTCAGGTCTAGTTTCCAAGAACAGCGTGTACTCTGAAGACATGCTGCACACTGCAAGGTCTGCCTGCAACAGCACCTTCAAGAAGTCACACCTACAGTCACATGCCATCAGCTGTTACAGGTCTGATGGACTTGACCTCTATAGTTCTTACATGGCCACAATTACTGTGATGTCTCTGGACTCCCATCTCTAAACATTACAGACCCAAAGCATAGCTCAGCCCCAGCATGCCAGCACCTGCAACAGGGACTCATCCTCATACACACTGGACCATCACAGCCACAGCAAGGTTGTGCACTCACACAGCACTGTGGATGTATCAGAGCGAGACAAGCATGAACTAGGGATGGACAGCAGGTTAAGCAAGGACTGAGTAAAACTCAGCACAAGCAGCAACACCATCCCAAAAAACCCTTTGTAGCCCTAATCAGGCCTCTGCACTGCTTGGGCTGGTGTGCTGCTGCCACGTGAGGCAGCTGCAATGGAATAAACTGGGGCCTGACATCACAATGATGCAGCTGCACTGGATAACAGAAAGCCCTCCTCTGGCAGCAAACGGCCCTGAAAAAGTAATTAGTTTTCCCAGAGTTATTAGGAAAGTGAGTAATCATGTGTACAGTCACAGCAGTGCTGTAGACACTGCGCTCTGACTGAGGGAAAGGCAAAGCTGAAGCGAGATTTGTTTGCAGTTGTAATTGTTCTCTGCCCTGACTCTGTTCAAGCAGCTACAATTATTAATCTCTAAATTTCAACATCAAAAGCTGAGATAATTAAATAGAGGCAAGGTCAGGCAGAAAAAAATAATTTTTTACGTTACATTAATTTTTTTTGGCTGAGATGGTTTTCTTTTTGAGCTGATATTAAGAGCATACATATTTTAAGTAAGTCCCACCGGCCACACATGCCATCAGCAGAGTGCAGCATAGCAAAAAATAATTGAAGTAATTGTTTTTAAGGACAAAGTATATTCAATTTAGCCAAGACTACAGTTTACATAGCTGAAAAGAAACCAGACATCAACCTCTGCACTGAATTTATTTCCATACTAAAAGTAATTCTTCAGATTCTTCTCTGTGAAGAGAAAAGCCCCGGATATCATAACCTATGTGTGGATCAAAGTAGTACAGTGGAAGAAAGCCCTGTTGATGCTAAAATCTGCACACAGGGAAAAAACTACAAAACACAGACAAAAACTCCAGGACCCAATGTTCAACTACAGCAATGAGAGCAGGAGAATATTCTTAGCCTGGAGATAAAAATAAATTAATGTAATTACTCCAAACAACAAGAAAAAATCTATTACAAAATGGAAGAGAAATTTGTCTCTTTGTCAACTAAAGTAAAACAGTTTAATACATTCTAGTTTAAATGAAAAGTGAAAAAAAGAAAAGGGAACCTAGGTGAAAAAAAAATAAATCACCTTTTTGTCCCAGATATTAAAACTAGAAACTGTTTCAAAACATTAGAAGTTTTCCATGGAGCACAGCATCTGGGACCATTTCACACTGAAATCACATTAGCACATCTCTTTCACAGTGCGGCCAGGTTGGTTCTCACTTCTTTAATAACTAACCAGTAAAACCTTTTCTATCCACCAAATAAGCAAGTTTGTGCTGCTACAGAAATATCCCACTGTAAGGACAAATCTGTCTTGTGATTAACTCCACAGCAGCAGAATCCCACCAGGGATGAATTAAACAACATCATTTTTCCACCTTTTCCAAAATGAGGACGCAGGTATTTTCAAATCCTTTTCCATTCATCTCTGCTCACAGCATGTGTAGCTTGCAAAAAAGTTCCCTTTATCATCTTCTGTAATTAATTTTCTCTGAGCAGAAAACAACACACCCATGAGAAACTTGTGCTCGGTCTGCAGGGAACTGCAGCATCATGTATCAGAAGTGGCCTCGGCATATTTGGCACGTTGCTGCATTGATTCATTGCCCTGTCACTGAATATAACTGGATGTTTATTAACAATGAAAACAAATACATTTTATCTTCTATGCCAAGACCTGTTCTTCTGAACAAGAGAGAAGCATTAAGAAGAAAATGAGATATTAATATGCTTAAAATAAAAATCTAGAGTTGGCGTCATGGTATGTGATCTAATGATTACCACATGAGGAACATGAAGTTTAACAGGATGTATGAACTGTCATAACTCCAGTTTGTTTAGATTTTTCCATTCTCAGCATAAAGATAGGCTGTATAGACCAGCATCCTGTTTCTACAGGGTATTAGCAGAGAGACAGGGAAAAGTATCTAGGTACACACCACAGGTATTAGCTACCTAGCCTCGATATTCTCATACTCACTGGTCATTTTCCACTTTTCAGGGTTTTCTGAATCCATGATTTTATGATTTGACAACACTCAGGGAATTCAGTGTTCACTAACCCCCTCCACATCTCCCTTGACAAGTGCAGCTGCCCTGGGATGGATGCAGCCACCATCCAATCACCTCCCACAGGTGAGCCCACACCCCCCTTCCTGACCCATTTCCCAGAACATCATCTGTAGTATCAACGATTTAGAAGCTCCCTGCTGAAGACAGGCAGAAGCCCAGTGCCAACCGGGGCTGACTGGCTCCTGGGCATGTCTTGTACCCAACACTCAGCCTGCATCCTGCTCCAGCAGGAAACATCCCAAAAATCTGATGTCAAACAGAGCATTAAGCATGGTGAAAATACAGCTCTTGAAGGCAATCTTGAATCAAGACCATTTACCATAAGTCACTCCTGAGATGATTCAAATAACATCTATCCTGCAATGAATTCACACTCCACTGCTAACAGGGTGTCAGAAAGACTTGCTCATGGGCACAGAGTCCTTTCTCCAAAGCAGACAGTAGCCATCTCTCATAAATCATTTGTACACCAGAAGCACCATCTGCAATAACAAATGAGACCTCCAAGGCATCTTTAAAGTCTTGGGTTTGCTACATTAAGTTTAAAGCTTGTAGCTATGTCTTTGGTAGAAGAAAAGATTCCAACAACACTCTAGTGTGCATGCCATTATTCAGGGAATGAAGAGATCGTGCCACACTGCTCTAATTAATAGAGACTCAGTATCCTCAGTCTATGGTCAGGAGACAGCTGCCCTCTCCACTACTGCTTTGGAGGTTTAGGACACATTCAGGTGAAGCAGACTTACAGCACAGAAAAAATAGTAAAAAGCAAAAGGAGAAAAAATGCTCTTTGTGACTGCCATCTGCACTGAACTACAATATAAAGCATCAGTTCCTAACCACCCACCATCTGAGACTGTTTTCCAAAGGACATCTTCCTTTTTGCAGGTACAGCATGTGCTTGGCAACACCTGCAGTTACTCTCAAGGGTTCCGACTTGCAAGTGTACCTTAGCAGCAGCATTGACAAGGGCCATATTTCATTCCATATATATTTACTGGTGAACAGCTACATTACAGCAGAGTACATGTTGAAGGCGTACGTACCAATACTACAGAACTAACAGACCTGCCCATTGTGGGACAGTCAGACTTACAGTGAACCTTCTGCAGCATCAAGCAGGTAGGTCTAAGTACTGAGCTCACCACAGCTCAATTCTGCCCAATTGAGGTGAGAGGGTCAAAATTAAAGAGGGGGAATAAAAAGAATCTTTGCAACTTTGAACACTTGTTTTGTCTGGCAGCAACATTAATGGTATTTGCAGTTATCAAGTGTAACAATTCACATCTTCATTCTCATCATATCTTGGCATAGGGAGAGAATTAAAGATGTCACATTTGCCAACTACCCATATTAAAATCACATGGCTGCTGTATAAACTTTCAATTATGGAGGATAGAGGCTGAGGGTGGAGGAGATAATCCTTATAAGAACTACTTCAAAGGGAGAGTATGGATGAGATTTCAGAAAGGCTAACTTAGAAGCTGTGTGATGTATCTGTTGTTTTGATATCAAGGTCATTCTTAACACTTAGACGTGGTTTTCACAAAGGAAGCCTTTTAAAAATATTTTCTCTATTTGTTTCTGCAAATCAGCTGATTCTAGTTATAAAAATCCCATTAATTGAGTGCCACACAAATCATCAAAGAATTCCTTTGCTGTTCAAAGAATAATAAGGCACAAGACAATCAAGGAACCCTGTTTACACCAAGCTGAGGAAACCCTAAGCTCAAGTCCAACACGAAACAACTGGAATCATTTCAGCTCACAGAGAAAGTGAGCTGAGCATGCCTGAGTCGTTTCCCATTTGCTCCCCTGCCCCAAGCCTGTGTGCTCAGTAGATGCTGTGGATTAGCTGATTTTTTCACTATACACCACATTAACAGGGGAGCTCAAGCTATGCATTTGGGGAATAATGCACTATGTGAAGTCTGGTTTTATCAATTAACCATGCATGATGCTTTCATAATGCATGTATTTCATCCCCACAGGCCCTGTGCACTGACAGCTTTCAAACCTTGGATGGGGTGCTCTTCAGGGTGGCAAGAGAACAACAGAATGGCCTGCTGTCCTATCAGACCCCGATGCAAGTTTCAGGGCTTGTGAAGCTGGCTGGCAAATATCCCAAGGGACTAATAGCAGTGCTTCACTGCATACAGCCACATCTCAGTGATTCAGTGGAAGATAACTCCTCTCTGCTTTTCAAAAGCATCTTTCTCAGCCCACAAGTGCTCAACTAGGGAACCCTGTGGGGCATGGAGGACACAGACTTTGTGCAATGATGCTCTACCAATTGTTAGAGTGGGATGTACGCCTTGGTAAATGAAAGGTTTTCATCTGGATTTCTCACTGGAAACCAACAGCAAAACATGGATAGCCAAGCAAAAAAACTGAAGCAAACAAACCTCAGGGTTTGTTTCCTCTCTCTATGTCTCCTATTAGGTTAATTAGTTTTATTTGTCTACGCAGCAGAAGACTACAACACACCAGAGGAGCCAGGATTGCTCATCTCTGAAAACTCCACTCCTCAATAGTGCTGCATCCTGGCAGAGTGTCACACAACAGGAATGGGGAGAAACCAGTGATTTTAATGTACCTGTGAATGGTAAATAGAGAAGAAATTCAACAACTCTCAGTATTTTGTGCCCTTGAGTCAGTGATAACTCAGATAAAAGATAAAACTGAGATTTTACTCTTGTTCTTTAACAATCATCAAGAATGGATAAGAATAAAAACTGAGATACTGAAGGGGATTTCAGCACAGAAGAACTGGAGGTCCCACATGGCTGTTACTGAAATGCTCCCCGAACATTATCACCACCGTCCAGACGACAACATACTAACTCAAAAGTGCTGTGACTAACAATGAGCCACTTGGAAGCACAGGATTACACACATATCACCTTGTATAAAGGGAAAGGTGATGATAAGGAACCGAAAACTAGGAACTGTTATTTTAATAAATAAAGGTCCAGTGGTGAATCTATCTGGTAA